GTTAGTATTGAAAGGAATGAAATCTATGTTTCCCAAATACCAAACATCTACAAAAATTACATGACAAGAGTGAGTCACACCATGTGTTTTTTCTTCCCCTCTAATATCAAACATGTTGGACAGAAGTCACTGAACTTTAAAGATATATCTTTTAAAAAGAGCAGTATCTGAAGAATTACCCAAATAACCATGGCTCACGTCTCTTGGTGTCATGGTGGGCATGACCCCTAAAGAAAGGATAAAAGGCTCCTACTTGGTACCAACGCACCAATAGGTCCGGTTCTGGGTTTCCAAAGAATCCACCAACATCCGCGCCTGTTGAAATTTCAAATGTTAGTAAGGTTTCTAGCATCAGGATTCCTGAAGCCAGGATGTAAGGTAGTTCCACCCACCAGAGAAAGGCAAGCCAGCAAGACCAAGAGTTAAGACCATTGGGATAGAAGATTTCAGGTGGTCCCAGTCTGCGGAATTGTCGCCTGTCCAGACTGCACCATACCGTTGACTTCCAGCAAAGAAGGCCCTTGACAAAACAAAGGGTCTATCTTTCCCCTCGCCTCGCTTGAGAAGTCCATCTGCAGTAGCCATATGGAAGTAGTACCCATATGCATTGTGCAATTCTCGGTGTTCAGCATCTCCATAATGCATTGCGTCCCTGGGCATGGTGACCTATTTAAGGAAAAACAAACACTTTACCAAGAATGCACAGGTCCCTTTTCTCCCTATATATTTCATCATCACAACTCACAAGAGAAAGCAAGGGTATCACAACTAAATGACATACCTCAGGGCCATTGAAGACAGATGGCTCATTCATATCATTCCAAATGTACAGTGTTGGAGTTGATCCCTTGTAGTTTTCATAGGAGAACTTGTCAGCCCACCACTCACGTATCTCAGGATTCAACATGTCAGGATAGGATGATGATCCAGGCCAGCACCACCCATCATAGTCATTCCCACTGGCATCTTTCACATAGTACCCCTTGTCTGTTGCCTCCTGGTGGAGGTGGAATGAACTGTCCCGCTTGATATGGGGATCCACGATGGTGACCATCTTCCTCCCCTTATCTGCTATCTTTCGTTGCATCTCCTCTGGATTGGGGAAGGCAGAACGATCCCATGTGAAGTACCGCTTGCCATCCGTATGCTCAATGTCGAGCCAGAGCACATCATATGGAATATCATGCTCATCAAAACCAGCATCTACACCATCAACATCTGCCTCATCCCGGTAGTTCCACCGGCATTGGTGATACGCTGTAGCAAACTGCTGTGGCATTGAAGGTGTGCCTGTCACACTTATGTACTGCTTGATCACATCCTTGGGCTCAGAACCAACAAAGAAGAATGCATCAACGACACCAGCCTCAGCCATCCACAGTGTGTCGATCCGCCCGTTCTCCTGGGCAGTGGCCCCATCCCAACCTGGTGCAAGCACGTCGATCTGCATCTCCGCTGCGTTGAGCCAGAAGAAGCCAGACGACGCCCGACCGCCGTGCCCAATCATGAAGGGGATCGAGCCATACAGACCGAAGGGCGATTCATGGAGGTACTCGAAGACGTCAAGGTTGAAGAGGCGGTAGGGCTCGGACTCCTCGACCCCCGGGCCGCGGGTGGGGCGGAGGGCGAGCGAGGTGGACCCGTGCTCCGGGAGACCGTAGACGAAGTCGGCGCCATAGAAGGATACGTCGAAGGTGATGGACTGCGGGCCGCGGGGGCGCTTGTCGGTGTGACTCCGGAAGTGCTCCTCCCACGTCTCGTCCTCCGGCTTGGACTCCCGCATCGGTTCGAAATCGAAGAGGCCGTGGGAGTTGAAGGAGAGCACGGGATCGCCCGACCCAGCGCGGCGGACGGTAAGCTCGAACGGATCGTGCTTAACGACGACGTCAAGGTCGGAGGAGAGCGCGACGGTGGACACGCCGGCGACGGTCTTGGGCTCGGGGAGGTGGAGCGTGCGCGCCTCGAGGTCCGGGAGGAGAACATCGGGGACGTGGAACCGGCGGTGCGGCGGAGTGGCGGTGGAGTAGTCCTCATCGATCTGGAGCCGCAGCGCGTGCGGGGGCAGCGCGGAGAGGCGGAGCACGAGGGGCCGCGGGCGGGACGGGTGGGAGAGCTCGGCGGAGATGGAGCCGTCGGGGGAGACGACGAGGGAGCCGGCGGCGAGGGAGAGCGGCGCGTCGAGCGAGTGCGGGGCGCGGGTCCGAGCGCGCTTGCAGAAGGGCGTCTGGTTGCAGTTGCGGAACTCGTCCTTCTTCCACGCGCGCGCGGCGGGGGAGGCCGCGGCGAGGAGCAGGAGAACGAGGAATAGCGGGGCGGCTAGCCGCCGCGGCGGGGGATCCATGGCGCACGCGGCGGGGCGGGGCGGACGGGTGGATCTGGGACTGGAGACCGTAGCAGACTGCCCTGGCTGGGAGGCTCGGTGGTGCCTCGGCCGGAGTCCTGGAAGAGGGGGTCAGCGGGTGGAGCCCCACTCGAGAGACAAGTCTGGGCCTGGGCTTGGGCTCGTGTCGAGGAGAGCGGGCCGTGCTGCGTGTGCACTGCGGGCCAAATCCCCCGTGAGAGCCATGGAGTTCTTAGCCCAGTGCTCCCCGCAGTTTTTTCACGGGCCAATTCAAGATGGGCTGAACCGAGGTCCAGCTCCACTTGTTGAAGCTTACTGTGTGACGCGCTGCCATCATGTAAAAGATGATGATTCCACTCAAAAAAAAAAATGTAAAAGATGACGACGACTCATGAGGCAAGTGAAAGTCATTTGTTTTTCCAGTTATCATCAGCTGTGCATGCCCACTTGCAACTGCTGCCTTGCCATCTAAGGCACTCGTCGCCGGATCGGAGCAGACCACATGCACCGCAGTTGTTGCCCATGATGACGCATGATGGCGTGTCGCACAGGCATGTCATTTACGTTGTTATTATCAAGCAGAGGCTTGCCAAAAGCACGAAGATATTGTGATAAAAAAAGCGCGAAGATATCCGACCAAAGCAAATAATTGGCCCTGTTCGCTTGAACTTATCAGCCGTACTATTTCAACGAAATAACAGTGTTTTTCTCTCACAACAAATCAGCGTCAACATCAACATCAGCATAAGCCGTTTTTACCGGTCAGCCGAACAGGTCAACAGCGGAGAACCCACCAAAACTCATCGATTTCCTGGACAGAGTGGACTAGAGTAGTATATTTAAAATGGAGACCTTGTGTTTCATGCTCCATCGAGGACGATCTATCTATCTTATGTCTAGCCACCAATAGCCATGATATATTTTCAGTTAAATTATCCAACGAAATCGATCCGCCTTGCATGCTTGGTTGCCATGATTCCGGGCTGACCCATATAGCCCTCGCTGGTACGTTCATCGTAATTATTCCTACTCGAAGTGGAAGCCGGCCTATAGTGTTTGGCAATCATGATTAGAGCGTGAGTATAAGCCGTGGGAGGTATTCACTATTCAGGATTTCAGTGAGCTAGGGAGTCGAGGTCCATGAACTGCGGTATGTGTACTCATCACTTCGCCCCGCTCCAGTGCTAAGTGCGTTGCATCATGCGCATTTGCCACCATGCCAACCGGACTACTCAATGAAATCCTGCCTGTCATCCGTCAAAATAGTATCAACTGTTCAGAGGTCATAATTAATATCCCTACATGCAAAAGTCTTGCTATGGCATTTCCCCGTTTCCTGTGTGCACATACGCATGGGCGGAGCCAAGAACTCAAGTTTTTGAATGTTAGGCGAGGGGGGCCATTAGTGTTAAATTTTCAAAATTTATTTGAATTTTAAAAAATTCAGTGAAGATTTCACATTCATATGGAGGCCTGGGCCTCTGCTCGCCCCCCTTGTCTCTGCCCCTACACATATGAATCTCAAACATTGTCATCTCTCTCTCGAACTCCTATTGCAAATAAAACCCTATCCACTCTAAACTCAATATTGTTCGGTCCTCGTTTTATCAATAATTATATTTCTAAGCAGAGACAATACATACACATGATTACATTCAATGGCAAAGTATTTATGTTATATTAAGGGTCTATCTGGAACGTAGGATTTTTATAGGAAGCATACAGAAATTTGCCAAGAAACATTTCAATTTCACAGGAAAAACATAGAAAACAAGAAAAAAAATCTCATGTTCCAAACACGGGCCGTAAGTGATTATATTTAGTGCTGAGTCAGGTATAGCTAAAAGTTAGGCTCTTTAACCGGATCTCTATAAAAACAGAAACAATACAACAACATAGTGTCAAGGCTCATAAAGAGTTGTTTGCAGCTTTGGCTGGGTTTCAGACGGCTGGTGTCGTGGTTTGAGGGAAGAGTGCCCATATACTAGCTTTAGCAATATAGGTTTTAGCTGAACCTTATTAATAATTTTAACAAATCTCACTGTGATCTCATGGCCTGTGATCTCATGACCATATTGTCTAGTAGATCCAGAGGCGGAACCAAAACTTTTGATCAAGGAGGGCCGAACAATAGGATGACACCTCGTAAACATAATAAATACGTACAACAAGTGTATATCTCAATAGCTTATCAACGTTTTACATATATATTTAGTACTCGTAACGAAAAACACAATATTTATCATAAAAAAGAGTGAAATAATAACTTTTTTTATTATGCAATTGAATTTTTTTATAGGTATTTAACAAAATCTACTGTGCTGGGGGCATGGCCCCTGCTGGCCCCCTGGTTCCGCAAGTGAGTAGATCCAAGCAATCACTTTTGCGTCGGTATGCGCTCACATGGCAACCCGCAACACCGTCCATTTCCTTCCTTTTCCTTAAAGAAAAGGCGTTCGATTAAGGAGTTACTAAGTCAGTGTGCACAAAAAAGGCTGGGCCATTCCAGCAAGAATCATTGGCATGAAGCTTCAGACATGCCTTTGTGCTCCTACATAAATCGATCATGGTTTAACACTACACACCAAGGCAAGCCGCGGCAACCAATCGGCACCTTAGCAAGTGAGACGCGCGCGCATCTTCAAACAAAGACGTCGTCATGGCACCTGCGGCCAATGGCGCGGACGACCATGAGCTGCCACTCTTCCACCCGTCCCCGTGCGCGCACTACTACGTGCAGAGTCCCTCCGCGGCGTCGCACACACTCAGCCACCCGGCGTCCGACTCCATGGCGCTCATACTCTCCCCCTTCCCGAACCTCCACCACGACGCGGACGCCCGCCACTCCAGCGACGGCCGCGACCACGACCACGAGGAGGCCTCGCGCCTGACCCTGTCCCGCTACTCCTCCTCCCGCGGATCCAACAGCTCCTTCCCGGTCGGCGACAAGAAGCCCGGCCGCCGGCGGCAGGTGCTGCGGGTGGTGTCGGGGCGGTCATCAGGCCACCAAGATGATGGCGACGACGACGACAAGGACGACGACGCGGACGGCGAGGCCCAGAGGAGCGGGGCGTGGGGGTACGTGAAGCTGGACCCGGAGGCCCCCTGCTGCTGCATCGCTTTCCAGGTGGCGTGGAGGGTGGCGGCCAGTGCAGCGTTGGCGCTGCTCGTCTTCGTCCTGGCCACCAGGCCACGGCACCCTCAGGTGTCCTTCAGGGTTGGCAAGGTCCAGCGGTTCGCGCTGGGGGAAGGGCTGGACGGCTCGGGCGTGGAGACCAGCTTCCTCAACTGCAACTCCTCCGTCGACATGGTGATCGACAACTACTCCAAGGTCTTCACGCTGCGCGTCGCCCCGCCGCAGCTCGAGATGTCCTTTGGCCGATTCGTCTTCGCGATCTCACAGGCACGTCTCGTGCTCTCTCGTCTCGACTAATAACTGACAAGCTGAGCTAAGCTGTTCCGTACGTTCTTGCATTGCTATGCTGCTGCAGGGAGACGGCTGGTCACACGACGTCGGGCCACGCAGCACTTCGACGGTGAGGCTCTTCGTGGCCGCGCAGGACAAGCCCATGTACGCGGCGGGGCGCGGCATGCAGGACCTGCTCGACTCCAGCCACGGCCTGCCACTCACCATCACGGTCAGGGCGCGGTCCCGGTACCGAGTGGTGGGGAGCCTGGTCCGGCTGACGTACCGCCACGACTCCGAGTGCGTCGTGCTCCTCAGAAGGACGCCCAACAGGACCAACGGCATTAGTGCCGCTGCCGGCAGGGCCACGTCCACCTGCTCTGCCTTAAGCTAGAGTGCCCGATAGCTGCCGATGTCTCTTCTGCCCTTCGCGTAGGAGAATCCTGAATTTTGTTGACTTGCGGTGTAGCCGTGGTGTGCATTGGCCAATTCTTGGTGTTGACCGCGTGTGATCTAGAAACATGGATGTTGAGGTGTTGTCATGATGCGGTGCAATGGGCGAAGCGACCGCAGATCTGGAGAATTTGTCAGTCAAGCCGCAGCGCAAAAGGTAGAAATAAAAATGGTATGGTTAGCGTCTGAACGCACATGCGCATCCGAACACTCGAGCAGTCCGTCTAGGTCCGTCTCGCTCCGACTCGCACGTGCCCTCTGCCCTCAATGCTACGCCCGCCGCTCCTTGCATCCGGATAGCTGCACAGCCCGCCCTCGTCCGCCTCTCCTCGCCTCGCATGCGCACCCTGCCGCCATCGCTACGCCCTGCTCCTTCCCCCTGACACCCTCGTCTCTCTCTCTCTCTCTCTCTCTCTCTCTCTCTCTCCGCATGGGCGGGGCCTGAGAGCCAGCCTCCAGCTCGCCGCGTCCTATTCCCCGGCGCTCGGGCCATACACTCATCACTCCCCGTGCCCCCGTTAAACATTTGGATGCAACATATGTCTGGTATAGATGAAACATACTGTTGCAACATACGTATGAAACATATGCAACATCCATATAAAACAATTGCAACATGTGTGATGAAACATATGCAACATCTAGATAAAACAATTGGAACATGTGTGTGGAAACATATGCAACATCAAGATAAACAGTTGCTGCAACATACTCCCTATGTCCTGTAATACAGTGCATTCTAAAAATTCTAAGACAACTTAAGGGAACACACAAATGACGCATGTACCCATATTATTTCAGTTATAGAGTTTCTCCTTAAATCATGGTTTTCTTTTTAACAAACTTTGTCAAATCTAAACATAGTCATTGTGTAGAATGCATTATATTTCAGTACAAATTTTAGAAAGTCACAATGCACTGTTTTTCAGGACGGAGGGAGTATGTCTGAAACAGATGAAATATTTTGAACAAACGCTTGTAATATACCTCTGTAAACACTTGCAAAATATGCAACATGTGTAACATCCGATCTACTTTTGCAACATCCATATGTAACAATTGTAATATACATCTGAAACATTTGAAACATACATTTATAACGTAGGGGAGGGGAAGGCCGGGGCCAGTCGATTCTGGTCGTCGAGGTGGGATCCGGCAGCGAGCGGAGCACCACCACCACCACCACCACCACCACCGCCGCCTTTTGGCTTGGCCGGGCGGACGGCGCGACGCACAGCCGAAGCGAGGAGCGAGGTGCAGGTGAGGCGCGCGACGGGTGGGAGAGAGGAGCGAGCGGAACGTGGGGCGTGCGACGGCGCGGGAGCGAGCGAGCGAGTGGCGCAGGGTGGGGGCGTGCGACGGAGAATGCCGCAGCAACAAATAGAGTGAGGCGCGGCATCCAGATGGGACGGACTCCCGTGGCGAAGCACTACCGAAAATCAAAACAGAAAAAAAAGGTCAACAAAGTTTTTAGACGTGCCTGATTTTTCACGGTGGTGGGCTGACAGAAGGCTTTGAACCCGCGATACATATCACCTCCGTAGATACAGTTTTATCTCTAAAAATGAAACAGAGCGTGGTTTAGTGACCGTGAATCGTGATGGGCGGGTGGTGGGAATTTGGGATGAATGGTCTGTTCGCGCGGGGACATGGTGTCGTGGTCGTGGACGAAGCGCATCTCGGCCTTCGCCCGGAGCCCCGGACGGAAGGACGTGGCGCCGAACGCGCGGACACTCGCTAGCGTGCTTCCGGCATGCGCAGACCTCGGCGCGAGGCAGGGCGTTCACATGGGCATGTGTTGTTGCTTTTCTGGAGGCAGGGGCAATCCACGGCTTCGGACTCCGCCGCGGGGGTGAGCCCTTGGGCCTTGGCGAACCTGATCGTGGACGTTGCCTTGTGCTGGCCTGCTGGGTGTGTAGTGTGTACGACTGACTGTACGCCCAGTGCGCGCCGAACAAAGCCACCGTCATCAGCGTTCTCTGCACGCAGTGGCGTCCACGGGTTCTCGGGCCTGCGGCAAGTCGCTGCACTCGTACGCACTAAAGAAAGACCTCACAGAGTCACAGGCGAGCAAGTCGTCGGCAACGCGTCGACGACGCCTATGCCTATGCCAAGTGCGGGGACGCCCCGGTGTCGATCAGGGATTTCGACGAGATCCCGGAGTAAGATCTGGTCCTTGTAACGTGGGCCGCCGGCGCTCTTCTCTTTGATGCTGCCGCCACGGGTCCGATCGGACCGTGCGGTGTGTTCCAGGCCCTGCTCCCAGCTAGCTGCCACGCCGGGTTGGCGGACCGGCCGCTGCTATTCCTGGACGCCATGAGAAGAGTGTAGAGAACGGCGTGAGGCAACCAGCAGTTGAGAGAGGTGAGTCATGGAGTCAGAGGAGTTGCAGGCGTCGGAGGAGGCTAGCGGTTCTCATCTTCTGGAGAGGTCTTTTCACAGAGAAGTGGACGCCGGCGGGGGCACGAATGCTCTCAAAGTCCAAGTCACTGTCTGATGACTGCAATAAGGATTGAAAAAAAAATGCTGCCTATTCATGGATTGAAGCGGGGCGGATCCAACCCTACCGCCACCAGAAGCATGAAGCCTCTCCTAAGCCCCCTACTACATATTTATCGGCCCAAAAAGCCGAAACACTATTCCGGCTGAAAAAATCTAAAAAGTACGGATTATAAGACAAGCGAACAGGCCCATAGTAATTGAAGTTTAGAAGAATGGACTAAATGTAGAAAATAAGATGGAGAAACCCATCCTATATCCTAGCATATGTTTCTAGATCTGCCGAAGCATAAATGTTCAGATAACCATCAAACAAGCAAAGTTTAGTCTTTAGTTGAACCAGATCAAGAGCAATTGCAAAGTTCGATACACAGTTACATGGACAGGTTCCGCAAAGATTTCTGTAGTGACGGATGATGACTCCAAAATGGCCGTTCACTGAATAGAGCGAAGGCAATAAGAAGCCAGGCTAGCCATCCAGATAAGAAAATCTACCTTCTCCGGGAAAATACTGAGTGGAAATATCTTTCTAGGTTGAATCGCGAAATCAACCCTTCCCTCCCCTTTTCAAAAGGACAAGGTGGTGATATAGATGGGCACTACAAATTAAAGTTTTAAATATCCCTAACAAAAATCTATAAATGTAGATGAAATGATGATATATAGATGCAGACCATAAAGTTTCAAGAACAAACTCAATTTCATTTATTAGATATGAGATTGACAAATCATGGACACAAAGTGAAGAGACAGGAAGAAACAATACATGTGTTATCTTCTGTCGGTTGCATTTGGTCTTAAAATTTTACATGCTTATCACATTTCCTTTACATGTATGGATTTAGACACAAAGTATGTTTTTATGTTGTTTGCACTTAATACAATCCCTTTGTATAGATCTCCATATATGTACAATACCATCAGTCCTAGGTACAACTTACAAGTTACTGTACCAATCTACTCATGAGGTCCATGTAACCATATTACAGTAAACAATGATGCTTCGTAAGTTTGTATATGCTCCGCACAAGGCAACCGATTATCCATACTGAATATCTCAGACTAGATGAAATCTATCATACCGTAGATATAGCCTGATCCAAACATATACAGGAAAAGTGTTCGATCATACATATACCACCTCTGACAGCATAGCTACAGCACCATAAAAATAGTGGTGTTACCGTACCCTGCAAATTCACACATAATGAGTATTACTTCAACATTATGAGTGGATTTGCACTGTAAATACTTGATAATAGCTGTTCAGAACCTAGTTCTGACTTCTGAAGTTGTAACAATTGAATTGTTGTCAAGAACCTACACAGCAACTAAGTTGCAAAACCCATGACTAGAAACCTATATCGCAACGTCATGCGGTAGAGAATAAGAATTTTAAGCCTTAAATTGCAAAGTATAACAGCAATAAAATGATGGTATAATTGATGGTCAAAAACCTTGTGATCATTAAGTTCTTCCTAAATTTAGCAGCCAGACTAAAAACAACAAGAACAGCATAAACAACTTATTAAAAGTGAAGGACAATAGAAAAGAGTTAGCAAGCACGTACCAAAGGCATCTATTTAGCACCAACTTGTTTTCATCTGATGCCAGAAGTTGATTTAGAAGACCCATACAGTGGAAAATCCTTGAAACCTCTGCCAGTACAGGTCCATCACACCTATTTAATCAATGATAACGAGCTATAAAAATCAGCCGAGCAATATACTTGACTACTGATGACTGAAGGGCAATACGTTGTTGAGGTAGTCACAAACACACTGTCCTACATACATGCTCTTCTAATCATTCAATACAATGAATGGGCATCCCAAAACCTTTCAATTGACATCAAAACTTATTTACATCCTAATGTCAGTTTAGAGTTTTGACCGGAGTGGGGAACATACCAAAATCTATCATGCTATACAGTATAAATGTGACTGAGAAAACTAAAGTCAATGGTATTTAACATATAAAAAATTCTACTGGAAAGAAAAGCACAATGCAAAATTAATGACGGATTAAAATTCAACAACTGTGTTGTCTATAAGGGAAGAAAATCTTAAGCCAACGAGCATACCTTTAGGCTCATCATGATAATCTTGTTTGGACTGCTTGAATCTTTGTGCCACATAAAGTGGTTCATGGTAGCCATAGCTTAGTTCTAGTTCCTCCTAACCTGAAAAGCTAGAAGGACCTGACGTCATGTATACAAGCTAATAAAGCATATAAACAGGACAATTTGTTGTCATCAGTCCCAACTGACCTGGTGCAGGTTGAGTAGTTTAATGTATTACTGGACAGCTAGTTGAATAGCTTTGGGAGGATCAGACAGCAAACTGGATTTTTGCATGATTATACAGTTACATCACTGGCTGACTTGTGCTGTTTGCTGGAGAGACATTCCAGCATACTGTCAAGTATAAGAGAAACTTCATA